GGAAAGAGATTAGCACAGACTTCTCTTCGGTCTGCACAGACGTAGAGCTCCCTGGGAGATGGCAGGTGAAGGGACGTGCTGGAGCACCTTCACAGGTGCTAAAGCTGGAGGGAATGTACAGAGTCTGTGCTCCATTCTGGGTCACGCAGGAGAGAGATGTTCACCTGGCAATCAATCCCTATAGCAGGGACAAGTCTGGCTTTACTGAGCAAGGTTTTATTTTCCAGAAAGCCATCCCGACGCTGATACAACATTGCCGACTGAGCACAACCAAACTTCCCTCGCTGCTCAAGAAACATTTTGCAAAGATCGTTAGCTTTAACTTGGCTCAGCCTTTTCCAGTATTAACATCTCTGAAAACCGGTTTCCACTGTGGTTTTAAAGCTCAAACAAAAGCAGCAGGGAGGCCCCAGCCGAGTCTCCAGGGGTAGTTTGTACGTGTTTCAAAGCCAGTGGATTTCAGCAAACAAACCTGGCAACTGAGATGGTCCATGAGTCTCACAGCTGTGGCTGGCAGGACGTGAGGCAGCTGGAGCAGAGATACAGGAGTATCCTCTATCTTTTGGTCAGTTTGTCCAAGTTCACACTGCTCCATTCAATTCCAGTTCCTGCTCAGCAGAGGGATGGGCCAGTTGTCCCTCTGGTCATAAGAGAAACCAGAGCACCTGAAACACTAACACACAGCTGAATGCAAGATCCACTTGAGATTTCAAAAATCACATCAGGGATTTGCAACTTTCCTGAGCTGCTGTCTCACACATTATCTCCTCCCAGTGGTTTCCATCTTCCTCTAATACAAACGTGTTGCCTTCGCTTGATCTTGACTCTCTTTTGGACTTGGCCATTTAACCTCTAGTTGGCTTGTTTGAGCAGTGAGCAGCTGATAATCTCTTCTCCTGGCAGAGCAGCAGGGACTGTGTGGGCATCTCCGTTCAGAGAGACTGGCTGGAGACGCAGATCCTGGTGTCAACGGTGCAGGAGCAGGAGGCTGGAGACCCAGACTTCCCACACAGGCAAGGCAGGATGAGGATATGCGTCTGCACCTTGTGGAGAGACCGGAAGATACAATAGCCAGTCGAACCCTGGCAAGGCATCCGTCAGCAATGCAACTATCACGGTGTAATTTGCCAAAGTAAAA